TATTCCTGCACTCTTACCTGCTTAAGCCCCCAGCCCCCCAGCATTACACATTTCTTTTTTCTGTAATGTACTATCTCCCCTCCCTTAGTATGCCCCCCATGCCCATTCCTAATTCTTTGACTTCTACTTGTGCTGCAAATAAAACACGCAAAATGATAATACTTACAGACATATTACAAGGTAAATGCTTTTTTCTTACCAAATAAAATTAGAAAATAAAATGAAGTGATTATTGGTGTCTTATCATTGACTTTTAGGACTCCTCTCCCAAAGACAAAAAAGGTTTTTTTTCTTTTTTTTTTCTTTTTTTCTTTTGTATTTTGTTTATCTTTACAATGGATTAAAAAAAAAAAACAACTTTGGTTTACACTGCATGCCTTAGGGTTTTATTGCTGTGAAGAGACACCATGACCATGGCAACTTTTATAAAGAAAAAAATATTTAACTGGGGCTGGTTTACATTAGTTCATTATCCTCATAGGAGGATAGCATGGCAGCATGCAGGCAGACATGGTGCTTCCACAGTGACACACTTCCTCCAACAAAGCCACACCTACTCCAACAAAGCCACACCTACTCCAGCAAAGCCACACCTACTCCAACAAAGCCACACCTACTCCAGCAAAGCCACACCTACTCCTGCAAAGCCACACCTACTCCAGCAAAGCCACACCTACTCCAGCAAAGCCACACCTACTCCAGCAAAGCCACACCTACTCCAACAAAGCCATCCCTACTCCAACAAAGCCACGCCTCCTAATAGTATCACTCCCTTTGGGGGCCATTTTCTTTCAAGCCACCACACTGCACACACTGAACTAAAGTGGGTAAGTTGAGTGCTTCATTAATTAGTTTTGTTTTACTGTGTATATTTTGTGAACAGAAGCTCAAGTTTATAGAAAGCAGCTACACCTGTGCCAAAGGTGCTACAATGCAGAATGACTGGTTAGAACTTCTGTGACCTGGGATGGCTATTCTTGGCTGTCAACTATATCTTGAACTAAGAATCCAAAACAGAGAACACACTCATGAGAATTTTTTTTTTTTTTTTTTTTTTTTTTTTTTGCTTAATATGAATTAGGAAGATCCACTTCTAACCTGGATCTTTGAGCTATGAAGATGTGCCTTTAATCCAGATCATCTGAGCTGAGAAATCCCACCTGTACTCTGGGCCACACCTTCTGCTGGAAGCCCGTATAAGGACATGGAAGAAAGAAGATTTTTCTCTTTGCCTGCTTACTCTTGCCATTCCTTCACTGGCATTAGAGCCCACTTCTTCAGGATTCCAGTGTATACTGCAGACCAGCTGAGACAGACATCCAGCATTGTGGACTGAAACACTGCTGGATTCTTGGACTTTTATTTATAGCCAGCCACTGTTAGATGATTAGCTTGACTGCATCTTGTGAGTCATTCGAATAAATCCCTTCCTCTCTGTCTCTCTCTGTCTCTGTTTCTGTCTTTCTCTCTCTCTCTCTCTCTCTCTCTCTCTCTCTGTGTGTGTATAGATATCACATACATGATATATACATACATATATATGTATATAAAAATCAGATACATGTCATATATATATATATATATATATATATATATATATATATATATATAATGTTGTGAGTCACTACATGTGTGCTGGGAACTGAACCTAGTCCTCTGCAAGAACAACACATGCTTTTACCTGCTGAGCATTCTCTGCAGCCCCATTCTGGATTCTTTTCATCAGCAGACTTATTCTTTAGGTAAAGAGTTATAATAACATCTTCAACTCGCATGCCCATCCCCACTCCACCCTTTCCTGCCTTGGTTCACTGTGATTGTCTTTCTGCTCAGACACCCCTTACCAGAGGCTTCTCATAGACAGAGCATTTACTGACCTATAAATGGGAGACATAAGACATATGAACTCAGAGGGACCTGAAGGTGACTGGTGGGAATACTCTTTTTAAGGGGGAAAGGGAAGTGTGGCTACAGGCACATTTAGAGAAAGAGCAAAGGATTTTTCTAGGGCAAGCATGAAGAATAAACGACAGCTTGGGGCAAAGTTCACCTGGGTTGAGTGTGGATTCAGCTGCAGCTTTTCTTCTGTTGAGTTACTCTGGACGGTTCTGCTGTAGGTCGGACAGAAGATTCTGAGAAAGTCCCATCTTGCCCTTAGTGAGGAAAAGGGTCGGGGTGGTGGAAGGGAAGACAAACCGTGGGCCCACTGTAGTTCAAAACACTTAACATGCCAATGGGCCATACTTCAGGTATGCTTTTTGGAACCCCAACACCCTCCCCCACCTAATTTTTAATAGACTTTATCAATACTTATCTCGTCTTTAGACCCAGGTAAAACACAAGCTCCACAGAAAACTGATCCACCTTAATCTCCATGAACAACAGTGTCTGCTGGATGTTCAGTAAGCCATTAGTTCACGCTGTGTTTCATCCAGCAATTCAGGTGGCCTTTTGACCTTACAAACCTCATCCCACCCTGTGTGAACCCATCCGTGTCTTTCCTACCAGGCCACCGCTTCCACCTCAGCCATGGCAGCCCAGGACAATACCATCCTCAGGAAGAAAGGGTCTAAAATGGTGAGTCTGTGCTGCTGAAGGCCAGGCATGAGTTAATCCTCTACTCTTTCAAAGAGGGCACCCCTCCCCCAAAAGCAAGGCATAGAGGTCGGGGGGGGGGGTTCCAGGCTACTGCCACCCTCTCTTCACTGTCGTGAATCGGGGATGTGGGTGCCTCTTATGTGATGGGTCAGGAGATGGGCCATGAAGCTTTACATTCTGTTTCTGAGAGAGATAAGTTTCTAGGAATTAAGTCCAGTTTCACATGGGATAGATGGAAATGGAGACACCAAAACCTCTTCGTACAGATTTCCAGGACAGAGATATATCCCTAAACACCTTCAACTGTGTGGATACATACCCTGAACCATCACTAATTAGCCAACATACAGGAAGCAGCAGAAGTTAATGTTGGAACTGCTTGGCCTACACTCTGTTGTAATATGCTAAGGACCTGTAAGGGTAGTTTTTGGAGTCACCATCCTGTTAGTTCTACAGCATCCACAACCCCTCGAGTGAAACTAACAGCGAGGCTTTGCTAAGGAAAAAAAAAAGACAAAAATAGAAATGTGAGAATGAAGATGAAACACTCAAGGAGCTTTTCCTGAAATGGGAACTGGGTTAGTGTCAGGGAGTTAAACATAACCTGCTGGGGGATGGAGACGAGTGGCTGGAAATGGAGAGGAGCGCACTACAGAGCAAGCTGAGCTGTGTCTTCCACGGCTCTCCTTTTTCTGGTATTGAGGAAGCTTCTTTAAAGATACATTGCTCCTGTTTGTTTCTTTTAAAAATGTCAGTGGGGAGTTCTAATATGTCATTCCCACAAATTTGTCTTAAAAAAGGGCTAGTTAACTATGAATCTGGACAAATGAAGGATAGCAATGCCTTGACATAAATGGTCTTACTCTAGCATATGTGGAGATTTTTAAGGGAGTGTGAAGCCCCTTTTGAACTGTCACCCAGGTAGAGAAAAATAAGGAGCTTGCAGTTACTCCACGGCGTGACCCATCAGCAGGCTTCTCATCCTGACAAGCTCATCTTGTTTTGCTTAATAACCAAAGCAGAGTGAATGCACAACCAACAGTTTCAAATAACAGTACAGGGGAAATAAACAAATGAGGGTGGGAGCGTGTGGAGTCATCAGATGCAGTCACAGCTGATCGGAAGTCTTACCCTCGCAGGAACAGGCGGGAGGTATCAGCTCCCACTGTCTACTGTAAAAGCACACCTTTGGAGGAATCATGGCCACCCCTGCTTCTCATCTACCTCCCTCTCAGATGAAACGTCAAAATGCCCACTCTCAATAGTTTCCCTTTGCTTGGGTAGCAAATCTGTGATGGTCACAGGGGCTGAACTCCAGTTCGTTCTGAGCTGCATATCCTTGAGTTGTACTTGTTCAAAGAATCATGTATTTAGAGTCCACAGGGTTGGGTTACTTAGACAGGGCTCTTTCCTAACATAGTGGGCGGCACTGCTCTGCTGGGGCGTACATAGGATGCTGGGACATGTGCTAGGAGAGGAGCTTTCACTCAGGAAGAACATTTCCCTTTCTTCCTTCCCGATGCTGACCCCACCCTCATCTGAATTAGACTTTTTCATAATTTACCTATAGACTGGTTCAGCTTCTGGGAGGATGGAATACGAGGGCCACAGACCAATCCCTGCAGCTCTTTTGTCTCTTTGCTGCTTTTCTAGGTTTATGGTGCCCATCCATCCCCTTGTGTGAAGGTTGCTGCTGCTGTTTTATGAACCTGGATTTCTTCATTTCTCATTCACATGTTTAGTTTCTGAGACAGGACTCTAACAGTCTGGCTGCGTACTACTATGCCGCTTGCAGCCTCTCCTTAGTTTGAGTGGGGTGCATCTTTGCTGCTAGGGCTGTTCCCACACTGTGCTGCCTCTTAGACTTTTATATGGCATCTATTTAACATTCGTGTTCACAGAGGGCTTAGCAGTGTGTCCTAATATATTCTTTAAGATTTGGGTGAAAAGTTGAATTATTCAGATATTCAACAAATGTTTATTGGTACCCACAAAGCATTGCAAGCTTATCAAAGATGATATCAAGATGGGCTCATATTTTGATTTAAAGGCTGAAATATCATTTTAAAGTCTTAAATAAAATGGAAGGAATTCTAGAAGATATCATGCTTCATACAATGCTCTGGAAATGCAGTTGGATTTGATATGCAGTTGGGAGTTTCCAACAGACGTTGATTGCACAATAAACGTAACACAGAGAATCTGCCAGTGTGACAGAGCAGCTTTAAATCAGGTTTAAGGCTTGTCATGCCTCAGTACATGTGCTAATATTTCTGTCAGCCTCTAGCGCAGCTGTTAAAACATGTGGGTTCTATAGATTAAATGGGACTTCTAAATTTCATGAGTTCTGTATTCTGATTCTTAAGATTATTTTGCTTTTCTAATTAGAAAGCAGACATTGCTTCTGATAGAGAAACATCAAGATTTATTGATCATCCCAAAATATCTTGCAGAACAATACATTTCACATTTCATATTTTAAAAAGTTAATACACAGTTCTTTCGAACAGCAGAAGAAAATGTCAAAACTTAGCTTGTGTTACAGGAAGCTAAGTGCTCAGTCAGAAAACAGACTTGCAAGTGATATCTATTTCAACTAAGAGCAGTTTTTGAAACTTTGCTCAGCAATCAAAAAATTTAATTCTTAAGGATACAAGTGTTTACTTCCTTCTGAATTTTAACAAGTATTAAATATTTCAAGGGCTTCCCCCTTGAAATATTTTTCAGTCTTTAATTTCTCTACGTCAGCCATCAGAACTTATTCTCTCTCCATGGGATTCATGACTGTGTTTTTCTGGCTTAAGTTTTATAAGCGGCTTCCTCAGGACAGTCTTTTCATAATTTCTCTTCACACACTGAATCAGGTAATCTATTTCTCTTCTCTGTCTAGTTTGCAAGACTGCATTGTACCATTATTCCCAGCTTTGCTGACTGACACACAGTGTCCTACACATACACGATCTAGGAGCCAGCCATACCCCGAACTGCTCAGAGCTGTGTTGCACTGAGTTTCTTCAGGTGTTCACACCCCCATTTACTTGCTACCAGCTGGCTTGTAACCTAGAAAAACCAGCTGTCCCTTCTTAATCTTTCAGACCCTAACACTGGGCTACAAATTTTATGTGACAAATCTGATGTCTTAGGTGAAACTCAGTAAGACTGGCCAGAAAAAAAGATGCTTGTTGGGATCAGAGCCCAAGCAAGTGGGCCACATGTGACATCTAAGAAGGAAATAAATTAATAAGATTTAAATATTTAGTCTACTTGCTTAGGTAAATTTGGCAGCTTATTTCAAGTCCAAATCAATTAAATGAAAACATTCAGTGTTCTTAAGTTCAGTATTGTGAACTTGAACAAAGTATGTTTCCAGACACATTTGTTAGTTCAGAAACAGATTTTTTTTTGACTTTCAACTTTTCCTTTAAAAAAAGTCCTAAATTTAACTACTTAAAATATTTTATATTTACTTATTATTTGTAATTATGTGTAGGTGTGTCTGCCTGCATGTGGTATGTGTATGTGACTGTAGTCAACACATTTCTGAACACTCCTGTAATCCTATATCTAACAGATGCTCAGAAAATGCTCGATACATTCTATCTTAGACCAATCCTTATACTTAGCACAATACCAAACCACAGTCATGTTTACGGGATAAAAACTAAGAAATTTGTACAGTATTATTAATAATACAGCTTCTGTTTTTCTTTTTTCAATGTGCATTGCACATCTTGCTTTTTCAGTACAACAGTGGTACACCCTCACAGTGCTTCCCGAGTCCAGTAAAGCATCACCAGCTGGCAAGTTCGTTTTAATGGCCAGAAGATAAAAATTTGGTCTAAAGAAGCAGGATTTTGATGGAATATTTTATCACAAAACATTCAGTAGTGAATTTTCAATTCACAAACTTTTTCTGTAGTTCAGTGAAGATTATAGTAGCTGACATAAATCATGAAAACTGGGGTTTCACTTGATTCCAATCACTGCTCTTACCATTCAACTGCCACTGGCATGCAAAGGTCTAATAATGGCAAACAGAATACAACATCTACCTCCCTAACACATCAGTCCATCCATTACTGGCTGCCTGGATTAGCTCCAACACAAAAGCCACAGCTGGAAAGCTATCACCTACACTTCCTGAATCCCCTGACTAGCTAACCAGACACGAGTCCCCATTGCTTGGCTTGACTTCTCCTTCCAGCAGCAAGTTCATCACAACCTTCATCAGATAGCTGCAGGTTCCTCGTTTTCCCAGTGGGGGCGTATTGTAGAAGGAGGTCATATCATCCTACAAAGGAAAAGAATAAACAAGTCCTTGGAATTGACAGGTGAAATCAGCAGCTGCCTAAGAGGGAAGAAATACATTTGCAGAAAGATTTCCTCATGGAAATTATGAGCCTCCCACACTTCGCTTCCATTTTCCCTAGGCATCTTCTCTGCATATAAAACAAAAGCAGACATTTTTAGCAGCCTTCTCTTTGCTAGTAATTTTATTTACTTAGGGAACCCTTTCACAGATGAGCATAAAATATTAAGCAGAGAACCCAGAAGGGACTACATTAGACAGTACATAGCCCCAGTGTTGCCTGTTCTACACTCCCATCTTCCTCTGAATTTATTTTACAGCCTTCGAGAATCAGCGGATTCTCCCTGGCAAAACACATTTTAATTGTCAGCCATATTAAAAAAAAAATGATCTCATCTTAGATTTCTTTTTCTTCTTTTGTCAGAACTTTATAGCTCAATCAACTAGTAATTAGCTAAAAAGCAATATTAATTCCTCAAGTAAGTCTGACTGTCTCTCAAGTATTCTGATTTTGTTCTCTGTAAATCTGTTTGGGATGTGAAATGACAACATTAGAAACCACTTCACCAGCTGAGAGACCCTGCACCCTTTGGGAGGAGGCTGTCCTCTCACTCACTTGTTTCTCTGTTTCTTTCAGCCGACTCTCATCCTTTTGGAACTCGTGAAATGCTTCTTTGACCAGTCTGTCTAGATCCACTTTGTCTTGAAATTCTAGTTCAGGGTTTCTTTCCAGCACAATGGACACGACCATTAGTAACTGCAAGAGATGGATACTGAAAGTCACTGACATGAACCACAATAGTGACACAGTCTGGACAGGGTTTCATCATGAATCTGATTGGCAGTGCTCAGTACATTGAGAAGCATCTATGGATAGGATCCTAACTCTGAACTTCAGTAGCATCTGTTCTATTTGGGACATGCATGTTTATTGAAGTATCTTTATAGCCACAGAAGAGATCTTTTGAATCACTGCTAGTTTTTTGAAGATGTCATTTTAGGGGTGGAGAGAAAGCTCAGTTGATCAAGAGCTTGCCTTCATCAACTAATTTGGCTGCGCCACAATTTATCCCCAGATAAGACTTTATTTTTGATTATGTCTAAGTATGAATGTATGTGCACAGTGTGTGTATGTGAGTGCAGTGCCCACAGAGGCCAGAAAGGAAGAGGACATGGATCCCTTGGACTAGAGTTACAGACAATTATGAGCCACCTGATGTGGATACTGGTCCTCTAGAAAAGCAACAAGGCTCTTAACCACTGTCACCTTTACAAGCCCTTATAGTGCTCATTTTATTATCAGTTTTAATTTTCAGGTTTTTTTTTTTGGGGGGGGGGAGAAGGTCTCTTTACATAGCCCTGGCTGTCCTGGAACTCACAGAGCTTAGCCCCCTCAGCCTCCTAAGTGATGGGATTAAAGGTCTGAGCTACCACAACTGGCTTACAATGCTTAGTTTAGACAACAAATGTCCATATACAGACTGTAGTCATGTATGTGGTAATTGGTAAGGGCCTTCTGATGAACCTTATGCCTTGTACACTAACCAGCAAAGACCTCCTAGTTCTAAGTTTAGGAATCTTACTGGGTACATCTTATCTAAATGCTTTGAAGCAGATGGGTGCTAGTGGCACATGCCTTTAATCCCAGCACTTGGAAGGCAGAGGCAGGAGGATCTCTGTGAGTTTGAGACCATCCTGGTCTACAGAGCTAGTTCCAGGACAGCCTCCAAAGCCACATAGAAACTCTGTCCTGAGAAAGCAAAACAAACAAACAAATAAATGCTGTGAGGTGAGGCAGAACCTGAAGACACTACAGTATAATCCAGGGGTCACAATGAGAACAGACCTATGGGCGGGGCAGGCTTTAGGCACAGAATATGAACTAAAGTTGCAGCTCTAAAGGAAATTTCTTCAGCCAGGGGAAAGGCACCAAGGTCATCAGAGGTCAACAAGAAGGAGTTCTACGTCCACTATCTGCCCTGGGCACTGAACATGAAAATCTAAGGATACAGCACAAAGAAAGCATCCTTATAACCCTGCCTTTCTGGACCTCCATCTCTACATTGTTCCTCCTACCTGGAATGTGAATGACTGTGCAATCCATCTTCACATTCTGGGCCATCAGAGATGAGACTGAATATCACTCAGGCTTAACTGCAGCTCCAGAAATAATGGACTGAGCAGGTGTCAAATTTACCTTAATATTTACTGCTAGCTTCTATGTCAATAAGACATATGAGTTACTTGAAAGAATATAATGTCTGGGGACTGGATGGCTCAGGGGTTAAGAGCATTGGCTGTTCTTCCAGAGGAATTGGGTTCAATTCCCAGAGCCCACATGGCAGCTCACAACTGTCTATAATTCCAGTTCCAAAGGATCTGCCATCCTCACACAGAAATATATACAGGCAAAACACCAATGCATTTAAAATAAAAATAAAATTATTAAAAAATAAAAGAATATAATGTCTGACAGAGACATTGCCAGAGAAAGAGACAATGAGAGGATTGGCCACACACTAAATTCTCCATTCCAGGAACTGTACAGTGTTGTATCGGATTGAGAGCAAGTGTGTGAATGTGCTCACAGGTACATGTACTTTAGCGAGCTATACAATGTTTTCACTTCACAGGCGATGCTTAGATAGATGTCCTTTGAAACACTATCAACAAGGATCTCTTGCTCTCCACAATTCTCTAAATTCTTACAATATTCTACAATTGAAGTGTATTATTCCTATAAGGAGGAAAAGCTAAACACTAAATGGAAGGCAATGATCTCTCCCACTGCTGTTATGGCTCTGCCACCATATGCGTTGGCTGTGGCAGGGTGAGTACAGCTGGGTGAGTGATCCATTTGGTTTTCTCACATGAGGGGTTTAAGGTACTTGAACCATAGGACAAGGTACTTGATCCAGGTCAAGGACACCTGTCTTCTTGATGACTCTTTTGGAGGAGCTGACAGGTGATGGGCAGAGTTCTTGGTTTCAGGGGGAGAGGGTAGTTTTTCAATATCATTCTTCACTGAGCTAACAGAAAGCAAGCCTTCAGTGATCTACATTTTTTCCTTTTTTTAAATACAAACCTCTACAATGATCTGTCTGTATTTTGGCTGGTCAATGTTTCCCAACATGTCTTCAACAAGGAGAGAAAAGTTCATCTCGTACATGGTCATATCCGACAAGGTTGGTTGCTGAAAAAGAAAGAGTTCCACATCAACATGCTGAATGTTGTCCTCTGTGTATTGTTTAGTAGAGGAATTTAATTTTCTAATCAATAATCTTTCCAGTTTCTATAAGACCAGAGAGATAATTTTCACTCTTGTGACTAAATTTTATATATGTCAAACTACTGAAGCCAGCCAGTCAACTATTGTGATAAATTAAGCCTCTCACTTTTAGCAGTTATCTTCATTATGCTAATAATTTTAGAGGAAAGGACTATATTAAAAATCTATTCCATAAATAAAAGTAACAGCTAGAAATTGAGACTATGATTAGAGTACACACTGAATTCAGAATTAACATGCGAAGTTATACTTGCTGTTGGACTTTAGGATGTAAGTCATTGCTGTTGAATTTATAACATTTCTGTTGGTTTTTTTTCCCTAAGCTTCCAACAGAAAAATGCTACAAATAAGCAGAAAATTACATGCAGAAAAGAGTCAGAGGCAAACCTAAAAGAACCTTTGTCTTTGCCTTTTGTTAGAACAAATCACTGAGGACACTGGGACCCATCCACATCAGAGCATGGAGAGCATGGTGGCCAACTGTGACTGTCAATGTGATTGGATTAAGAAGCACATAATGAGGCACATCTTTGGTGTGCTGTGAGGATTTTTCCAGAAAAGTCTTAGTAAGGAAGACCCAGCCTAAATGTAGGCAGCAGAAGCTGCAGTCTGAATAAAAGGCCTGTTATGCACTAGCATTCCTCACTTCCTGCTATTGGATCACCACCTTGAACACAACTGTTCTGTCACCCTTCCACTGCCAAGAGGACTGCATTCCTCTGAACCATGAGCTACAATGGACCTTTCCTCCCTGTTTTGCTTAGGGTCAGGTACTTGGTGGTGAGAAAAGTAAATATAACAGAGAGCAGCCCTAAGGACAGGAGGTAGAAACCCTCATGGTAGGCTTGTAGGAAGATCTGTAGCATTATTCCAAGAGATACAGAAGTCAGGACTCACTTGCTTTTATCCCATTGGTTTACAGGGAACTTATCCATAGCTTTTAAACAAAGTGCATCCATTTGCTATTTAGACTAGGACCAAGGATGCCCTTCTCTTGACATAGGTGACAGAAAGGTGTTCAGTCTGCTGTAATGATGCCTCAGTCCTATGTTCAGTACAACTACTGTATTCCATAGTCAGTATAACCCAACATATTATTACAAGTAGTACCTGATTTGTGAAACCTGAAGCTTGGTTGCCAGGACATTTGGCTACTGCGAGTTCTTAGATGTCTAACGAAAGGGTGGATGTAGTAATGGAAGGAAAGAAAGACTCCTTCCTGGTTTTATATTAACTTCTTAATACATCTTATTAGAAATGCCTAGTTCCTAGGCATTAATGAAAGTTAATAATAGAGACAAGATATCAAACTTGCCTCTTTTTCCACTCTTCTGAAAGGACCTAGAGTAGAGCAGAGAAGTGAAGAGAAAAGGCTCAGAAGCCAAACCATCAGTTGTCATTTACTTAATGAGTGTGGGCCCCTGGGGGAAATCATTCCACTGTTTTGTTCCTCATCCTGGACTGAAAGGAATAATAAAGTAACTTTCTTGAAGCAGGGGTAAGATGAAGAGCTAGATATTGTTCTGTGTGATCTGCTGAAGGGCAGTCAGCATCCTAACAGCCCAGTAAAGAATTAATTTCATGGAAGGAATAGATGAACAAACAAGAACTAGGGAAGAACTGATCATGTCTAACTCAACAAACCAATGGACAAACACACCAACAAAATCATAGGAATTAGTAAACACCCCTAAATAATAATCTTCAATGTAAATAAGTCTCAACTTGCCAATAAAGAGACACAAAATGGATAGATGATTAGATTTAAAAACTGAACCTAATTATTTGTTGTCACCAAGAAATATATCTCACTGATAAAGATACCCATCAACTCAGATTTAATGATTGGAAGTCAATATATTAGGTGAGCAACAGCTAGGGCTGAAGTGACTATTATGATAGTTGGTAAATTAGACTTAAATCAAAATTAGAGGAGATAAATAAGGCCATTACAGTAATACTAATTAATAAAGGGAAGAATCCACCACAAAACTGTAACAGGTGTAAATATATATGCACCAAATGTTGGGGCTCCTAATTCTATAAATAAATATGGACAGTCATAAAATGTAACATAGGTCCTAATAAAATAGTTGGTAATTTCAGGACTCAACTGTTATCTTTAGATAAGCAGTGCAAAGGATTTCAGAGCTCACGATAGCTAGTTTTAGTTGTCAACCTAACATAATCCAGAGCCACCTGGGAGTCTCAATGAAGGACTTTCTACATTAACTTAGTCTGTAGGCACTTCTGTGGGGGATGATCTTGACTGTCAGGAAGACTTATCTACTATGGGTAATACCATTCTGCGGACTAGGGATCCTAGAATAGATATGAAATGGAAAAGAGAACTGAATACCAGCATGCATGCATTGATTCATCACTCTCTGATCTATGAACACAACAGGATCATCTGCTTCAAGTCCTTGCCACTGACTGCCCTACAATGATGGCCACAATCTGGAACTGTGAGCCAAATGCACCTTTCTCCCTTAAGTTGCTTTTGCAAGAGTATTTTATCACAGCAGCAGGAAATGAAATCAAGATAGTTAAACTATAACAGAGTAATAGATATATCAGAACATTCCATCAACAGATACAGAATACACAGCTTTCTTAGCAGCTTATGAAACTTTTCAAACTATGGATCACATTCTAGGCCACAAATCAAGCCTGACCAAATACTAAACAAACAAATAATTAAAAATAAAATAACTTCTTATGTCTTGTCAGACAAAACATCAATAAAGCTAGAAATCAGCAGCAAGAAAAACTATAGGATCTGCATAAACATGTAGAGAGTGAACAACACCTGAATGACAAGATGGCCACTGAAGAAATCAAGGGGAAAAATATAAACTTGAAGAATCAAATGAGGAAGAAAGTACAATTTACCAGAATCTTTGAGATGCAGCTGGGCAGTTCTAAAGAAGAAAGATTCTATGATACTTACATCAAATGGGGGAGGGGGTTGGAGGGATGCTCAGTGGTTAAGAATATTGTTCTTCAGAAGAACTGAGTTCCACTCCCAGCACCATGTCAGGTGGCTCACAGCCACCCGCAAGGGCAATCTGGTACCTCTGGTCTTTGTAGGCACCTGCACTCATGTCCACATATCCAACACACAGACCTTTAATCCAGATCTTTCAAGTGGGAAAAAATGCCTTTAATCCTCAGTCTTGAGATACTTTAAATCTTTAAATCGGTCTTTCATCTTTCTCTTATGTTACTATCTCTATAACTCCCCAAAGTAAGTTTCTTTTACCAATACTTTTATTTATTTGAATTTTTAAATTTATATATACGTAGGTATTTTAACTTATGTTTATTAGGGCTAGCATTAGTTCAAAGTGTCCAGTGGTTATGGATTCTTCTGGGTGTAGAACAGAGATGTTTTACAAGATAAGATACACTGTGATTATTCCAAGCACACTTCCCAGTATACTTAACTTGTTATCACTTGTCTCCTCTCATAGGCTGGTTGATGGATGATTATGAATCAGGTATCACATGTCTAATTTGAGGAGAGTGATGTACTGTGTGTGTATACTTCATTACTCTATTCAATTAAGCTCTCTATTCTTAATTTACTACTAAATCTTCCTTAGTCCTTTAAATTTCATAAAGGATAACATGAGCATTCTAATTAAGAAAATGTAGCTCATTACTTCCTATCTCATTGGCTACACCTTGGCTAACATTTTTATGCTTGTTCTTCTGCTGCTGAAGATGGCGGTATATAGGCTGGGGAACATATACCTTTAATGTAGGTCTTGAGGCAGGAAGACACATCTCTAATCTGGCCCATACCTTCTGCTGGAAGCCTCCAAGGATATGGAAGAAAGATTTTTCTCTTTGTCTACTTGCTTTCACCTTGCTATTAAGTCTATTACTTCATTGGCATTAGAGCTGATACTTCTTCAGGATTCCAGCATAGACTGAAGACCAGTTGAGACATCTAGCCTTGTGGACTGAACAACTACTGGGTTTTTTGAACTTTCTGTTCACAGCCAGCCATTGCTAGGTTAGTTGGACTGCAGCCTGTAAGTTATTCTAATAAATCCCCATTACACACACACACACACACACACACACACACACTATAAGTTCTGTTACTCTAGAGAAACATGACCAATACAATATACATAGTTAAGAATAATAAAATAAAATAATTTTCAATAAATAACCTAATGATACACAAAGTCTTAAAAAAAAAAAGAACACACTAAACCCAAAAGCAATAGATGGCAATAAGTAATACAGAACAGGGTAGAAATTAATGAAATGGAGACTAAAAGAACAATACATAGAACAACTCAGGTCTATAACAATCAAAGAGATTGAAGCAGCAAAAGCCACCAATAAAAATTGCAGGAAAGGATGGATTCACTGTCAAATTCTCCCAAACCTTTAAATAAGACCTAATGCCAATGCTTCTTAAATACTTTCATAAAACAGACTTTTCTTATGCTCAAATCCCTTCTAGGAAGCTAGCACTGTCCTCATAGCAAAGCTAGATGAAGATACAACAAATAAGAAAAGTGTCATAACATTTGCCACAAAATTGATAAAACTAGAAATGGTTTTGTTAAGCCAGACTGAGAAAGACAAATTCTGAATAAATTTCTCTCATACAGAGAACCTAGATTTAAAAGTGTGTGTTTGTGATTGTGTGTGTGTGAGAGAGAGGGAGAGAGAGAGAGAGAGAGAGAGAGAGAGAGAGAGAGAGAGAGAGAATGTGTACATGCTCCACAAAAATAAAAAAGGGGACCCTGAGAAGGGAGAAAGGGATCTTAAGAGCCAGGGAAGAAGAGAGGGTAATGGAATCCATGTAATAAGAAAGCAGAAGGTGGGAAGAAAGGGAAGCAGCTTGAGGTGGTAGGGTTATACAGGGGAGCACAGGTGAGGACAGGAATTGAGAATAAAGTATGGCAATACATGAACAAAGATATTGTGACAAAACCCATTACTTTGTATATTAACCTAAAAAAATCAAAACAAAAAGACACAGAAAATGAAACCTTGACAGCTGTATGAAAATGGACCAAATCAGGCTGAGTCAGACTTCATGTTTTATCTTATACTTGAAACCAGGTGAATTATACTCCCTTTCCCCTTCCCTCCCTCCTTCCTTCCCTCCCTCCCTCCCTCCCTCCCTCTCTCTCTCTCTCTCTCTCTCTGTGTACATAATGTACACACATACATAATGACACAAATGCGGATCATGAGAGCAGAGAAATAAATCTTAAGCAAGTGGGGAAAAGGAAGGTGTAATAGATTACATGTGACATAAAGCAGAAGGGACTATCTGGGAAAAGGAAGGGACTTAGCCAAATAGAGCAGGGGTGGCGGCATGGAAAAGGGCAGTGGGGGAGGGACATGAATGAGAACAAAGTATATTGACTTATATGAAAATCTAATAATGAAACTCATTACTTTGTATCCTAACTTAAAAAAAATAATGAAAAAGAAAGTTCATACAGAATTGTAACCAGAACCAAACGGCACTTCAGTTTGTAAAATGAAACAATACCTAATACATAATATATATATATTTTTAATGCGAAGAGAGTCTGGTAAACATAGCTGGGTCCATCACAGAATCAAATGGAGTCTGATAGGTATGGTGGGGTGGGGTGGGGGGGTTGACATAGGTGTCAACTGGTGGCCACTCTGCACTGCCAGTGAGGGCAGGGATGGGAAGCATCAGGGCGAACAGCAGAGGGGCAAACATGGCTGTCAGGTGACAGGCTGCTGGAGCAGCAGCCACAGGGCAACTGAAAGAAGGCTAGAGCACCCACTTCTGAGTAGGAAATAGACTTGTGACACAACTTAACGTTTGAATGGCTAAGGGGGCTTCAAGGAAGAGCCCATAACAGATCTTTAGACACCCCCTCCCTTTTCCTACCTATTTCTTGTGTCTGTATAAGCACTATTTTTTCTTTCCATATAAAGAGCTACCTCAAAGTTAATGTGGTTAACGTTTCAATACTAGAAGCAGATGTAGTACTCCATTTCTGCTTCTGTATAAGCAGAGTGAGTTGAGTACCAGAACTAGATAAATGATATCACATCAAAGAAGCAGGCCATTTTTTATAATGAAGAAAACCAGCCATGCATGAGGGTCAGCAGCTCCTCAACACCATCAATAAGTTACACCACAAGGGACCTGAAAGACTGTCTCAGCCCAGCGCTATGCCTCAGCAGTGCTTTGCACCCTGACCCACACATTTGTAAGGACACTCTGCATTGCTAGGTGGGGTCTACTCCTGCTTTTCAATGTACGTTTTACATTTGTGAGATCCCAGCACTGACCCAACATGTAGCGGTGAAGAGAGAGCACTACTTGAAGTTAAGCTAAGTACTGTGCAGGTTAGTTTTGGTCAGTTCAGCACAAGCCAGGGTAATCTGGGAACATAACTGAGACATTGCCTCCATCAGATTGCCCAGTAGGCAAGTCTGTGGGGGGGGCATTTACCTAATTAACAATTGATGTGGGAGGGTCCAGCTCACTGTGAGCTGTGCCACCCTTGGGCTGATGGTCCTGAGTAAGCAAGCAGTCTGACCCACTTGCCATCAACTGCAACACTCCAGAGAGTGGCCCTGTACCTCGCCTAGGCAGCACTATAGAGCCGATCCTGTTGGCTCTATTGCTCACCTGTCATATGGCAGTATGGGCAGGAGAGAGATGTCTTCATGTCATACCCCATCAATGCCTTAGATAGGTGGGAGAGCTGGCCCTGAGGTCATAAGAGTAGGAAGGCTAGCCCTGCACTCCCCTCTGGAGTGGCTGCTGTATCTCACAGTAGAGCTGGCCCTGAAGGTATAGGTATGGGAGATTTGTCCCTGAGGACATGAAAGCAGAAGAACTGGCTCTGCCCCTTGCTCATTGCTGCAAGGAGTGAAGTAGCCAGCGCAATGCAAGAGCTCACCCTGGTGCCAGGACAAGAGAAAGCTGGGGGGGGGGGGCTGACAAACCCTGCAACTACCCAGACCCAGAACCAGGGTTACTAGTTGGTCCACTAGGGGACCAGTCCTGCAGATCCAAAGCTGCAAGATCCCCATGACACGGTGCAATGGCAGGATAACCAAGAAGTGTCCCAGTGAGGGTCCAGCATCTATAGTGTAGCAGAAACCACAGGCCTTGAACAAGACCAACAACTCTGCAATGAACACTTACAAGATATATGGACAAAGGGGTTACACTACAACTTCCATGATGAGCTCTCTCCCCCATTTTTTTTTCTTTTTCTCTTAAATTTTATTCAGAGGGTGGGGGCTGCAAAGGGCAGAGGAGGGTGGATACACAGGGACAGTAAATGAATGGGATCAAAATGCATGATGTGGAAGACACAAAGAAAGGAAGTTAAAAAATAAAACTAAAAAGCCGAGCAAGCCATGGGGATCAGAGCAGTAAGCAGCATTCCTGTTTCTGTTCAGTTCCTGTCTTGTGCTCCTGTCCTGATTTCCCTTCATGGCAGACTAGAAACTGAAGATGAAATAAGCCCTTCCCCCACAAGTTGCTTTTGGTCATGGTGTCTACTATAGCAGTAGAAAGCAAACCAATACACATAAGAAGCTCGAAATTTACAAATAACTGAACAGAGAAAAGACAGCTTGCTCAATAAGAGGTTTCATCATGTGTTATCTATAAAGAGAAGATTCTAGAAGCATCTGAAATAATACAAGGACATAGATACAATTCAGCAATTACACATTTGGTAAAGCTTTTCTGTATACACAGACACTAAAACTGGAAAATAAAAGAAACAAGGACGTGATAAAAAACAATTCCAATGCAACTGATGACTTATTTTCTGTTCATTCTGTCTTAAGCACCCCTATTTTGAACATTCTTAGAACACTGAAGAAGAAAAGCTGTCTATGGTGCAGAGGGGAGAGAACCCTTTCGTCCCGCTGGTCCTCTCTCCTGAATTTAGTGTCACTTTACCTGTGGCAAATGCTTCCCAGCCACAACAATACCATTGGGCGTGCGCTCCAGGATCTGCCACACACGGTCGTAGAACCCAGTGGGAGTTCTGTTCAAGGACCCATCAATCTGACGCCTATCCAGCCAGCATCTGTAGAACAAATGAAAAGTTGCTGTGTTGAAAATCAAGTTTGTTCTTGGAGAGAGCAGAGTTCTGTATGCCAACAGAGTGAGCAAGAGTAAAAGCTGCAGTGGTGCGTGCCTGCCGTGCTTAGTGGAGGAGTGAGAGGAGGGCGCATCGCAGCTTAAGCATTCACTGGCGGAGTGGTGTTCCCTGCAAGCTATGAGTTGCTTACTACGTCATCAGATGATTTTCCCTCATCAAAAATGGGCACAACCAATTTCAATTATTTTATACAGTTCTCACATTAATAAAATGTAAGTGCCAGAAACGTATGCATATCATATAGCTTGATCATTCCTACAGATCCTTCCCAGAGTGGGTTCAGTAAACATTTGGTAAGAAATGAACAAGCAGATGTTCAGAAAAGTATTACATATCTATCTGTATATGAACATACAAAATGAAATTATTTTAAATTTTATGAAAGTTGTCAATTTAAATAAGGCTGGCCTGAGTTCAAAAAGCTAGATGTGAAATCTTAAATGTTAAAAGATATAGAATCTTATGCTTCAGAGTTATGATCAAAACCTTAATAGTAAGCCTACATTCTAGATTCGATATTAACCAATATACCTTTCACAAATACCAAAGGTACCGTATTTCCTCTGTTTTTAAAGAACACACAATGACACAGTATAATTTTGTAAAAGCTGAAAATGTATATATGTGTGTGTGTCTGTCTGTCTATGTGTGTGTGTTTGCATGTGTGTCTGTTTACACTTGGTACTTACAAAGGAGACAGACTAAAATACACAATTATTACACACAGGTTTGTCAGGATTAACAAACTGACAATATTTCTAAACAGAACAAACAGCTAAAGACACTAGTTTTGTGACAGAGGACCAGTACAATGAGATAAATTCAGTGACTAAAAATGATCTTTTCTGGATGGCTGAGTTTCCACTGATAGACCCAGACTTACACTATTGCTTTCAGTGTTTTGCTAAAAGGCAACAAGGTCAAGCACCTAGTGGTGTTTTTATTTGGTAACTGAATACCCTCTGCATTTGTATTTTAACCATATTCATTAAATGCAACAACAAAAATATATTTCAGAGCTCTATGAAATTATGGCTAATACTATAAAAGGAGTATTTGCTTAAAACATAAAAAGAATATGAGAATACTCACAATGGAGCTGGGAAATTATTTTAGAAGACTTATTATTATTATCATCCCTATTCTGTATGGGTATTTTGCATGTATGTATGCTTGCATATTATGTGCAGGAAGACAGAAAAGGGCACTGTGTTCCCTGAAACTGGAGTTACAGGTGGTTGTTAGCCACCATGTGGGTGCTGGGAGTTGAAGTTGGGTCATCTGTAAGAGCAGCAAGTGCTCTTAACCACTGAATCATTTCACCAGCTCTACTTTAAAACTGTCATGTTACTTTGAAAAACTTTACACTTACAGAAGTTACAAAAAATAATGCAAATTTCATATGCTTCATCACTCAAGCTCTCTCCCACTCCTATTATCATATATAATTCATAGCTTAATTATTGGCCCAAAGAAATCAAAAGCCATACAATAACACAAATTTATTTTTGAGTCTTATTGACATTCTACCAAGTTAGGTTCCAATTCAGGATGGCCTGTGTCATTTAGTTTCCAAATCTTGGGGGCTCCTTGAATCTGTGGTAGCTTTTCACTTATTTTTTTAAGCTTTCAAATCTTAGTAATATCTGCTGTTTCATAGAATTTTCCTCTGTCCTGGTTCTATGGTGGTTTCTTATAAAATAATGCATTTTGGGCAGAAGAGATAGGGGGTCAGTTTCAAAGCCTCATACAAGGGTAAAGGAAGTAAAGTCTTATCACTAGTGACATCAATCTTTATCGTTTGGTGTAAGGGAGTCTGGCAGATTTGTCTACTACAATCAAATTACTTGTCTTTTTTTTTTTTTTTTTTTTTTTTTGCTAGTATAAAGATGTGGAATAGAAACACTCAGGTATTGTGTAAGTTTCCACTCCACATTACTTCTAACAATGGTTCTTGCCTGCAGCTACTACTATATTTTCTCAGTGGACATTTTCTGTTCCCATCAGTCTATCTATGCTTATTAGATTCTGCCTTAAGGCAGAGTCCCTTCTCTCCTATTCACTGATTTCTATCAGCTAATCTGTGTATAATCTATTAGTATTATTTGTGTATTTCTTCTACATACATCTAGAAAAAAAAACAAAAACTCATCTCAGTTGGAGTCCCAGGAGCCTCTTCCAGTTTCTCCAGTGTCCAACTGCACATCTCTGTGGTATTTTGAGATTTTTTTTTTCAGAAACCAACCATTTCTCCAAGAAGGACTGATTCTTCTCATTATAGTGTTTAGAAAGCAACTGTTTCAAGTTTGCTCATTACTGAGGCAGTTTCACTGTTTTTGGGCAGCCCAGTAGACAGAACTAGGAAACACACGGATGCATATGCACAAACACAGATCCATGTTCATTTCTGTATCTATCAGTGTAAAACCATGACTTCATATTGGTTTGTCAATTTCAATCAACCTATCCCCCCCCATAGGAATGGCTACTAACAGTGAGAAATATCCTTTTTAGTCATAATAATTTACACATTTATCCAACCTTACTGTACACATGAAATTCAGATGGTTAGCGAGTAACCATTGGTGAGAAGCATGCTTTAACTGGAGGCAGCATTTGTGTGAGGTTTGCTTACTTAGCCTTTCAGTGTCTAGTAAAAGGAATGATTTGGGCAGGGACTTTGGCTTTGTCACATCCTTAGTGTAGTAGTACTCATTTGTGTGAACTGGGTTCATTTGTTGGTTTCCACTCTACTCTGGGCTCCTCCACATATAGACTGATTTTAATACATTACTTAATTCTGGGCGCATGCAATGCCCCTACCACTTATGAGGGGGTGTTCCATGCACAGAGGTGGGCTGGGGGAAGGCTTAGTCTGCTCAATTCCATTACACTGTGTTTGCTTCACTATTCCCATCCATCCTTATCCTCCCTGAGTAACACTACCCACATTTGTTTCAGACTTAACTCTTCTACACAAATGAGTATATACATTTAAAAAATAAATACTGACATTCTTTTGCACTTTGCTGTTTCATCTTACAATATATCTTAGAATTCCATTCTTCAAAGGTTCACAGTGCCCTGTTATGTGGCATACCACATTTTGTCCCAATTGTTTCTTGGGACATTTAGGGTATAAAAATACTAAAATTTTCAGTTATAAGCACTGATTTAATCAATGATCTAATCGTGCATATTTTTTTTTTCTGTTGTTGGAAACATATCTTCATAGCAGATTACTAAAAGGACCCGGGTTGAAGCAAAGAGTTCTTAGATGTCAAATTCCTCCAGAAAGGGCTGTACCCCAGTTACATAGGCAGTTTCTTCTCTCAGCCGAGGCAAATGCTCACTACATGTTCTAACTTAGGCCCTGAGCAATGTAAGAAGTCCCCTAGCATGCCCCAGATACAGCTCTAATTGTATATTAATATGAACATCTTTAAAATAGCCAAAGGCCATTTTCAGTGAAATGCACATTATCATTCATGTTCCCCTAAATTTTCATCTTTGTTTGGGATGGTTAACTCTCAGTTCATAAGAATTCTTAGATGCTCACTCTTCAGAGCATGTTTGGGTCCAGTTTCTTAGTTTGTTCTGACAATATCTTTGCCAAGAAAAAATGTTATTTAAAATTAGATAAACTTTATTAGTTATTTGTTATCATACCCTTGATTAAATCACACTTAATGCCTTCCTCATTCCAAGGTTAAAGAGAAATTAACCAATGTCATCTTCTCTATCCCATGTTTTACATGAAGACCTCTAATCTACTTGGAGCTGATTCTGGTGTGTGGTAACAAGTATCTAATCTGTCTTTTTGTAAACAGTGATCCAGTTGTGAAAAGTATTTATATTTTAAAAGTCCATTCTTGATCCAGTGACTTGTGATGGCAATGTTACCATGTAGCAAACGCTCAATGTGTGTTTACTGAAGGGTCTCTCTTTCTCTCCAGGGGGCCCATCTGTTTAGCACCAGTACCACATTGTGTTAGTCACAAAAGGTATGTGGCCTGCTTTAAAACCAGCAGAGAAAGTTGAGAAAGTTGTTTTTTAAATGAATTTATTTTTTATTTTTATTTTACATATCAATCCCAGTTCCCTCTCCCTCCCTCCCTCTCTCTGTCTCTTCCACCCTCTCACTCCCCCCCCCCCCGTCACTCTCCCCCACTCCACATGTAGGGGAATGCCCTCCAGGAGGGGTCATCTAAATCTGACAGGTCATTTGAAGTAGAGACTAGGGCTTCTCTCCTGTCTCTAGGTTAAGGCAGTTATCCCTCCATGGGGGATGTGTTCACAAGGTCCTTTTGTGCACCAGGGATACATCCTGGTTCCACTGTCTGAGGTCCCTTAGACTGCCCAGGCCTTCTGGCTGAGACCCATATTCAGGGGGGCCTGAGTCAGCCCCATGCTGGATTCCCAGCTATCAGTCTGGGGGCCCATTAGCTCGTCCTTGTTCAGGTCAGTTGTCTCTATGTGTTTCTGTAGCCTGGTCTTGTCCTCCCTCTCTGCATCTGGATTCCAGTTCAAGGCAATCCATAAATAGTTGTTTTATTTTTATTCTTTCCTAAGTAAAGCATATGAAAGTGTTTATCTCTCATGCTTATAGTACTCAGGGAGGCAGAATCAGGTAGCACATCTACATAATGTTACCAAACCCAATTGCTTCTGCTAAAGTCTTGGCAGGAGATGCAACATGCTTTTATAAAGCTCCAGGAAGAAAATTTGATCACAGTTATAGAAAATGTTATATATTCCACAGAATAATAAAAAAATTGGAAAATTATAAACTATACCTGGAAAAAGATAGAAAATGCAAATCAACACAGAATCACATATCCAGACATTTTGACTCATCCATGTCTACGCGATCCAACTGGGAAGGTGGCCTCATGTTCCATTGAACCTTCTTCTGTTCCAGCCGGCCTTGTACTTACTACAAAGCCCAGGCAACCCTTTTGTCTCAGCATTGTAAGTGCTAGAATTATAAGTGTGTGCCACCATGCCTGGCGTCTGAATTTTCTTATCAATGTTGTACTAGTTTGTTATCCGTATCAGCTCGGATACCAGATGTCCCTGTGTCTCTGAGTGTCTATGGGCAACAAAAGCCTTGCTTACCTTCCACTCTGCTGAGGCTGGAGGATGTCTAGCAGCAGTTGTTTAACTTCACTGGGTGAGAGTTGATACAAGTCCACAGCTGGCTTACTTCCTCCCCGGATCTGTAGTTCATACTCCATGGCATGGATGATCCACCTGGAACGAGAGCAAAGAGCTCTTCAAGCATCTTCAAACACAACGGCCTCGTGCTGCTTTCGGCAGTACCCTTCATAGCACCGATGCGTCCAGGGCAGGACGAGGAAAAGGTCATTTACATTTCCTGGATCACTGATATTTCTTCCATCCCGACTGTAACCTGATCTGAATCTTAAGGATGCCTGTGAACTTGCAATTAGTTGTAAGACATGGGAACATGGGAAAGCTAAGTAGTTAGATACTTCCCCGGTCAGACTCACTATTGCCATATAACAGCTTCACAAGAAACATGCCAAAACCAAATGGCACATAAATGATTCACCTTAAGATAGGGCCGAGACGTGCTATCACATACAACTTCTCTTTCTAGGAATGACAAGAATAACGATAATTTCTAAAAATATGATTTTTTTAAACATATAAGTTATTGACTTGGGGATGGTGGGAACAAAGAAGTGTCTGTGTTTGGAACACAAGGGACAGTTAGCTGCAACTTAAGTATAGTAGTGTATTGGAGAAGGAGTTGCTGTCCCTACACAGAGGACTTTCTTTCTTTGTACTCCCTTGAAGAACAACCCACCAGGCTACTGTGTGCACAGAGCTGAAAACTTAAGACAGATACAGTCAAAGTCTTCATTTTTGCCAAAGTTGGTTTGCAAAACAATAGTGATACTCCTTCCTGAAAAGGCTTTAATGTCTCAGTGCAAATGATGGAAGAAAAACCTTAAACTACCCTGGATAAGCCCAGGGGGAGTGGACAAAGCATAGGTCCCTGTGTGCTGGGCCAGGCCACAGGCCACAGACTGAGTTTCTGGTCTGTGACTTTTCGATCTCTGTGGTCTCAGATGAAGACAATTCTCAATTGTCCCCTCTCCTATTGTTCTTTCTGGATGTCAGGAATGAGTACATTCCATAAAATGCTTGGCTTGAGAGAAACAAACTGCCCCTCCCCCCACACCATCACCCCCCCCACACACACACACACCCCTGATATGCCCAGTACGACTGAGAAGTGGTAGAACCTTTAAGAGGGGGGTTTTGGAGTGGGTTTTCTGGTCATTGGGTCATGTCCTTGATGGGACCTTCCGCTTTTCCGCTTATTCTCTCTTGAGTGTCAGGATTTTGCTCTGCCAGGTGCTGCTGCTATGTTGTGCTGCTTGCCTCAGGCTCAACAGCAATGGAGACAACTGACCATGGACAGAAACCTCTAACACTAAGCCAAAACGATTTTGGTCTTTGTAAGTTGATTCTCTCAAATATTTTGTTACAGTAAGGGAAAACCTTCTAACACTAGGACAGGATACTAACAATGTATTACAAATTTGATTTGTATCCCCCCCTGACTGCCCCCAGGCATCCCACCACATTCCTATCCCCACCCATGTCCATTTCAGTTTTCTCTGGTAATCCAATGAGCCCAGTTAGTGCTGTCTGTGGCAAAGTTGACTGATAACATGATGCTTGTGGCTTGATCTTGTTCAGGGCTTGTGCAAAGCTGCACTGCACTCATGAGTACAATGGCCATGTCACATCCAGGAGACGGTATGTCACAGAGGCCTTCCCCTCCTCCAGCTCCTTCCTGCCTTTCTTTTCTTCCTTCCTTTCTTCCTTCTCCCTCTTTCTTGATGTTCCCTAAGCCTTGGGGGTATTTCTTTAAATCAGCTGAAAACTGAACTAAGTTTATCTATCTGGCAAAAAGAATTTCTTGACTTGTTTACTTCCTGTACTAGAGACTACATTTGCCAAAATGGTATACAAACATAACAGTCACAAGAACACAGTCATTTTGGATACTTTGATGTTAAAATTCCTTATGAAATTAGTTGTTACAAACACTTCAGTACAAACAAACAAACAAACATCTCAACAGACCTTTTCTTGTTTTACAGTCTGTATAGGTTTAACTTAAAGTTACTTATAAGTCTACTTTATTTTCCTCTCATTTTAAAGCTATTTGCAGTAGCTTAGTGTAAGGGCCCACTATTGAGCCATGCAGTGCAAAACCTGTAGTCTAGTTTCTTAGAAAGCCAAGGGAATAAAAAGAAACATGGAGTGGAAGATACTGTTCTTGACTCTGTGACTGCAGAAATGTCCTGCAAATGCCATATGCAGCCTCATTCTAAGAAGAGGTAGAAAGCCTTTGGGGGCTAGAAATTGGGTGTTTGGTGACATTAATTTTGTTGGATATGATAACAGCACTGACATTAAGAAGTCATGCTATTTGAACCCTGGTACACATAGTACTTCTGGTGCTTAGGAGGTAGAGGCAGGAGGATCCCGACTTTGAGGCAAGTCTGGGTTACATGGTAAGACCATGAGTCAAACCAAAACAAAAAGCAAACCACCAACCAAATGAACAACAACAGAAACAGAATGCCCCTCCTTTTTATTTTATTCTATGGGACAGAGTCTGAGGTTGGCCTCTATAGACCAAGCTGGCATTGAACTTGTGGTAATCTTTCTGTCTCATTCTCCCATGTGTTTGGATTCCAGGTGTGAGCCACTATGCCTGGCTTCTGAAAAGACTATTATATCTACTCTCTAAGATACTCAGGAATGAAAGTCAAAACACTCAGAAGTTGCTTGGAACACAACAGAATATAACACTATACAAGATATGATGACTGCCACACTCAGATGTGTAAGCACCACACTGGATTTGATTCAGCTGCAAAGAAAAATAAAATTCTGAGGAAAATGGATATTATTGGGAAATACACCAAGTGAAGTAGCCCCAGCTCAGACAGGCAAATGCAACATAGTTGCTCTCATTTTCAAAGTTGACCTTTGAACTCTGAGACTAGTATGTTTAAGTCATGGTGTCTTTAGAGGTCAAGAAGCTAAAAAAACGGTCAACAGAGGGGGTTTAAGGAAGGAGGGGCATAGGAGAACACACAGATATGAAAGTAGTTGTGGAATGGGGAGGCTTAAGCAAGGACGGGGTATGGGAACAGTGGAGAAGAGAAGCTGAAAGGAAAATATTAGCTGAAACTAAGCATAAATGAAATGCCCTATTATTTTAGAATAAGCTGATTAAAAAATAGTTTAAAAAACTCCAATAGGAACACCCTGCCTGGATGGATATTGCTCTTTCCAGAGGCCACAGGTTATACATGAAAACCCCAGTGCCAGATGTGGTTTTCCTCCCTATGAGTTGTTGGTTGGAATGCCTCGGAGGCTTCCATAATAATGCATATTCTCACTGCTCCTGGTTGCCCACCAGAGCTAGATGATAAGAACCAATTGCTGAAGATGCCACAGACTTCAGTTGCAGAACACAGAGAAATCACCCTGGGACTGAGCTCCAAGTCTCTGCTCTGCTGACTGGCTTTCATGATGCCTGAGGTACTATGGAGGCCCCTGGGGAAGAAAAAGCATCAGCAACCCCACACAACTGGGGACTCTATGGTTACAACACCAACCTGCCAGGGAAGTTGTGTCCACTGGTACATTGTGGCATGACTACTATGAGAATGGGTAGCAAAGCACTTTTGGATTGTATATGAGGCTTGCTTCACTGGAGGAAAGTCATACCTGCTATTGTAAACCTGGTCAAGAACTATGAAAGTTTGAATGTAATTGGCACCCAATGCTCATAGGGAGTGGCACTATTAAGAGGTGTGGCCTCATTGGAGTAGATGTGGCATTGTTGGAGGAAGTTTGTCTCAGTTCACTTTCTATTGCCTGTGGATCAAGATGAAGAATCTCAGCTCTCTACCGCAGTATCTGCCTGCATGTTACCATGCTTCCAGCCATGATGATAACGGACTAAATATCTGAAACTGTAAGCCAACTCCAATTAAATGTTTTCATTTACGAGAGTTGCCATGGCCATGGAGTATCTTCACAGAAACAGAAACCTTAAGACAGAAGTTGGTACCAGGGAATGGGGTATTGCTATGATAGGCTGGACTATATTTTTGTTTGGAGGAATATGGAGTGTGGATTACAAAAGCAGCTGAATGGTTTAAGTGGGGCTTAATGGGCCATCACAGCAGAAAAATGCAAGACAGTGATGCTGAGGGTGATTTGAACTGTAAGGGCCTTCTCAAGATATTTCAAAAGATGAATGTTGGTGTGTGGCCTAGAGACCAGCCTTGTGATATTTTGGTGGCTTCTTTTTTCCCTTGCTGGAAAAATTTGCCTGAGGCTAAACTAAAGAGTTTTGGATTAATTCCATTGGCCAAGGAAATATCAAAACAGCTTAGAAATGACTCTATTGTGTGGTTATTACTGGTCACACTTCCACAGATTTATAATAAAAAGGAGCAAACTGAGAAAGAAAAAATACAAAATGTACAATTCGAGGAGACAAGAAGCACCAGAAAAGTGGAATGGAGATAAGTCTTGTGTTCAAGAGATAAACAGATTAAGAAATGGAATAAAGGGAGTGGTGACCTCAGGCAAGATCCCACTCAGCTAAATTTCCAACTTGTAGAAAGGAATTAAAGAAAAGCTTAGAGCTGTATGTGACGGTGCACATCTTTAATCCAAATACTCAGAAAACAGAGGTGGTATACCTAAGAGTTTGAGGCCAGCCTGGTCTACAGAGTGAGTTTCAGGACAGCCAAGCTTTGGCAGTGAAGGTAACCATCAAAACTAAAAAGCTGGTGATGATGTAAATTAAATGAAGGGGCCATGTTCCAGCCCCAGCAAACAGCAGAACTTGATAGCTTTGGCCACATGATTCTGGCTTTAGGATAGAACAAAGGTGTTGTGGCATGTTACTCCATGACTAAGGACAGCTGCTGAGGCCAGGTATATGTCAGAGGTGTCCCTGCATAAAGACCTAGAGAGGTCATTGTGTGAAGCCGTGAAGCTGAAGCTTGGATTGCCCCTGGAGAACCAAGATGTTAGTGATGACAGCATCATGGTATATCTGCTGAGGAAAGTGCTAACAGGGAATGGAACCAGCCCAAGAGAGAGAAGTGTGTTACAGTCAATAAAGCTGAAAGGGGTTGGAGAGCTGAAGAGTGTTTGACATCAGACATGGAGATGCA